CACTGGCTTTTGCTGGCTCTGGATTCTGCATCCAGCTCATCATCATCTGACCTCTAGTTCTTTGAACTTGAGCCAGCGTCCTGCTGTACTGCCTGCCGATCTTGGGATTCATCAGCCTCCATAGTCTGTGAGCCAGGGGAAGCTTCCAGTCTGACACACGACTCACAGACTTGGGACTTACCAGCCTCTACAACTGCATGAGCCATTTCCTTGAGATAAACCTCTACGTATATCTATTATATATATGCTTCACTGGTTTTGCTTCTGTAGAGAAGCCAGCATAAGACAACATGCATGAACAAAACCATTTAACAGAATCCACCAAAATAGTAAACATGTACCTCTAAATGTATATATACTTGGACCAAGCATTTCCATGAATTCTGAAAAGTTTCATCCCAAAAATAGAGGCAACAAAGATTTGTACTGGTACATAACTGTTCACTACATTTTTCTATCACAAAATATGTATGTAATAATGGTAAAAAACTGAAAAATCAAGATCTGTCAAATATAATGGAATAACATGACAACAAAACCCTTCAGGATTTTCAAAAATATAAATCTTGGAATTATTTTAAATTGTTTCTCCTATAACTCAGAAAGCATCTGAAACTATGCTGACTGTCAAGAAAATGCAGATTTGGAATTTTCAAATTACCAACCATAAATACATTTGATATAACTTTTTATGACTTTTTATTTTATACATTCACACACACCCATGCATATTTTTCTGAAACATTTGAGAATAAAATGGAGATAAAGTACTTCTGAACCCCTAAATATGTCAACTTTGTCTTACATAACCACTGTACAGTTATCAAAATCAGGAGATTCAATATTATCTAATCTACAATCCATATTCAATTTTCATCAATTGTACCAATAATGTCATTTATACTTATGCTCCCCCACCCCATTCCAGGACTTAATACAAGATCAAGCCTATATTAGTTTTTATTCTTTTTTCTCCTGTAAACTAAAACAGTTCATTAGCCTTTCTGTGTGTTTCTCGACAACGGAATATTTAAAGAATAAATTTGTAGAATGCGCTTCAACTTGGTTTTCCTGATATTTTCTAATGATTAGATTCAGTTTACACATTTCTGGAAAGCATATATCACAGAGGAGGTTATCTGTTCTTCTCAATGCTTCATATCAGGAGAAGTATAGTATCAATTAGTGCCCATATTGGTGGTGGCAGCATTGATAATCAAGCTACAGTGGTATCTGCTATATTTTCCCATGGGAAATTTGGTAATTTTTGCTTTGTAAATAATTTGTAGGGAAATAGACTCTGAGTCTATAAATACCTTGCTCCTTATCAAGCGTCAGCCCTCAAATTTCAGCATTCATTAATGACTTTCTAACTTAATCATTCCTTCAATATTAATAATTAGTTGGCATTCTACTATCAAGAAGAACTTCCCTTTCTACCTCATTAATTCATTCATTCCTATCAGTATGATTTATGAATTCTTAAATTATTCACTAGGTTACTACCAATTACTATGAATTTTTATTTTAATCCTCAAATTGCCCCAGATTTGGCCAATGGTAGTGCCTTCAATCTGGTTCCTGTGTCCTTTTGATAAGTCCCTATAATTCTCTTAATACTTTGTAATTTATGGGGTGGGTGATGGAAATACCTTATATCCTGACAGAAGGGTATATTACAATATCTATGCATTTGTAAAATCTCATCAACAAGACGAAAAGGCAGGAAGGGACAGGAACTGGACAAATGGACACAAGGAACCCAGGGTGAAAAGGGGGAGCATGCTGTCACATTGTGGGGATTGTAACCAATGTCACAAAACAGTATGTGTATAAATTTTTGAATGAGAAATTAACTTGAGCTGTAAACCTTCACCTAAAGCACAATAAATTTTTTTTGTAAAAAAATCGCATCAAACCACACACTTAGAATGTGTATTTTTGTATGCAAAATTTACCTAAAAGCAAGCAAACAAACAAAAACACCTGGGAAAACTGAATTCTAGCTAGTAGTACTTTTTAAAAATGTTATGGGTAAGCAGTTCTTAAACTACCTTATGTGTAAGTAAGTATACTGACAACAGTGGAAGTCAAATTTCTCATTGTTAGATAAAAGAGGTACAAATAAGTACAGGGACAAAGCTTGAATAAACTCTGAGTTTTTAACAAATACAGATACAGAGCTATAAAGAAATACAGACACGTGTGTATAAGCGTGTTTCTATACACATGCTCAAACACACAGACATATATTTTCTCTGTTCACTGAGAGGCCCTAGAAGCAACAAGATACTGGCAGCAGTGAACACAACTGGCATCCAAGAAACCGTCTTAGTTTCTAAATACTATTCTGCACTAAAAGGCAGACTTCAGGTCTGGAACAGGGAAAGATGAGCCTGTCACATTTCGTATTCAAAGTGATTTTATGGTTTTTCCTTTTCTTCCTTCTTACGTAAAAATGTTAATAATGTATCTATGTATATAACACACTGCTATCAAGTTGATTCCAACTCACAGCAACCCTATAGGATACAGTAGAACTGCCCCACAGGGTTTCGAAGGCTGTAATCTTTACGGAAGCAGACTGCCACCTCTTTCTCCTGTAGAGTGACTAATGGGCTCGACCCGCTGACCTTCTGGTTAGCAGCCGAGTGTTTAATCACTGCACCACCAGGGCTCCTTGTATCTATGTATAATAATTACTAAAATACAACTTATATGAGAACACCGTAGTAAAAGCACTATTCTTTCCCCCTAAAAGTCTTTAAGAAATACGACATAAACCAATTGATAAAGAGAAAACCAGAAACGCCTGAGGCAGTTTTCTTGTCCTATTCCTCAATAAACTTAAAGGAAAGAATTCGGAGGCCTTAACAGATATCCCATATAGCCCAACACTTAAAGAAAATAAACATAAAACAATACAAAATCCACCTCCTGAACAAACCTGAATTCAAGCAACATTCACTGAATACTTACTATGCAGGCAGCACGTGGGAGATACAAACTGAATAGACATAATCTTTGCCTTTTTGCCTTTTGGGAGCTTAAAATCCAATTGTTCATGTGAAATTTAGGACAGAGCATTCATGGTAATGTAGATGATCCAGGTTGTGAAGAGAAAACAGAGGCTATCTGAGGATGTCAATCTGACTGTAGCACCATGAAAAGAAAAAGTGGTTTTGATTTGGGTTCTAACATTAAAATGGTGTATTAAGAATTCAACTCCACTTCTCAAGAGTTTAAATCAAATCAGATGACATGATTACCTACATGAGATGCTAGCAGGACAATCAGTCCATTCAGTATAAACTATTTGCTAGTAAGGTCATTTCAGAATATGGTATATGAGAGCTGTGTTCTTGATTCTTCTAATGCTTAAAAAAAATCATTTTCTAACATTATACCAATTACATAGCTTTCTTAAGAAAGAGTAAAGAATTATTTCTTACATACACTCTTAAAAAAAAACCACAAATTATTAAAAAGAAAAATATTAAGATCTGGGCCATTTCTTACTTGTTGACTCTTTCAATTGTTTTTCTATTCTCTATTTCGTTTATTTCTGCTCTAATTTTTATTATTTCCTTTCTTCTGGTGCCCTACGGCTTCTCTGGCTGCTCTCTCTTTGTTCGAGGTGTAGGCTTAATGTTTTGATTTTGGCCCTTTCTTTTTTGGATGTGTGCATTAATTGCTATAAATTGATCTCTGAGCACTGCTTTTGCTGTGTCCTAAACGTTCTGGTAGGATGTATTTTCATTCTCATTTGAGTCCATGAATTTCTTTATCCCGTCCTTGATTTCTTCTACAACCCTGTAGTTTTTGAGCAAGGTATTGTTCAGTTTCCATGTATTTGATTTTTTTTCCCTGCTTTTTCTGTTATTGATTTCTATTTTCATGGCTTTATGGGTAGAAGAGACATTTTGTAATATTTTGATGCTTTGGATTCTGTTAAGGCTTGCTTTGTGGCCTAATATGTGGTCTGTTCTGAAGAATGTTCCATGTGTGTTGGAAAAGAAAGTATACTTGGCAGCTGTTGGGTGGAGTGTTCTGTATATGTCTATGAGATTAAGTTGGCTGACTGTGGCACTTAGATCTTCTGTGTCTTTACTGAGCTTCTTTCTAGATGTTCTGTCCTTTACCGAAAGTGGTGTGTTGAAGTCTCCTACTACTACTGTGGAGCTATTTTTCTTTTCGATGCTGTTAGAGTTTGTTTTATGTAATTTGGAGCCCTGTTGTTGGGTGCGTAAATATTTATTATGGTCATGTCCTCCTGGTGTACTGACCCTTTAACTGTTATATAGTGTTCTTCCTTATCCTCTGTGATGGATTTTTCTTTAAAGTCTGTTTTGTCAGAGATTAATATTGCCACTACCGCTCTTTTTTGATTGTTGTTTGCTTGATAGATTTTTTTCCATCCTTTGAGTTTTAGTTTGTTTCTGTCTTTGAGTCTAAGGTGTCTCTTGTAGGCAGCATATAGATGGATTGTGTTTTTTTATCCATTCTGCCACTCTCTGTCTCTTTATTGGTGCATTTAGTCCATTTACATTCTAATTATTGACAGGTATGAGTTGGGCCATTTCTTACTTAAATCTAATTTTGTGTTTCTTTATTTTTCTTTACCCTTCTCATTCCTTCTTACCAGGGAACAGCCTGTGAATGGCTAAAGAATTAACTGAATTGAATAGAAAAATGAGAAAACACTTGAAAAATCACAGTCCCTTTTCAAAGCCTTTAATTTACTGTTCTGGTGGGAAAAGCAAAAGAATGACCAAATTTGGAAGATGTTATGTATAACTGTATTATGTTTCAAATTCTTTCAAGGATCAGAAAAACTCTGGAGGAGATGAAAATGTACACTTCAATTTGACATGCAGTTCTGAAAAAAATCTTTGAAAGGCCATAGTAATGAAATCTCCTTAAGTGTTGAAAACCTACTACATTTAAAGTTGAAATTGAAGTATATCATAAAACAATTCAGCATTCTTTAAAGTTCTTACCACAATCATTTCTGAAGGCTCTAATACAAGACAATCACATCCTCTTTTTCCTCCGAACTGCTTACCAAAACTATAAAAACAAAAAAAAAATTTCTTTAGCAAAGGTTATAAATAAAATACCAACACAGGAAAACAACAAAAACCTATATGTTAACCAAGAAATTCTCATCCTGTCACTTACATTAAAAAAATAAGATTTACTAAAAAAAAAGTCCTCTTAATTGCCCAGATATAACTGATTTCAATACAGTTGTGTAAAAATTCTTTAAAAGCTTTTGCCTTTAAGTGTCCCAGAAACCAGTTATAAGAGATACGTGCCTAATCTCAAATTTTGAACATCTTGTCAGTATATGTTTAAATAAAGGAAAAACACACTTATAAAGAATGATACCACAATTATGCACATTTTATGGAAGTAACATAATCTTTTGGGAGAGGTTTTAAACAAAAGACATCAAAATTTTTTTAAATGTTCACACTGAAAAACGTAAGAAGAGATAACAACAACAAAAATAAAAAATAATGTTGGAGCCACCGACTACCTCTTTGGCAAAACTTAAAGCTGGATCAATACTAAAAGAAAATGTGAGCATTTCTATATTCTTGGTCTGGGAAAACGATTTCTAAGCAAATCAAAAAAAGGGAGCAATTATAGAGGAAAAGACTGATACATTATCACTTAAAAAGATTAACTGAATTAAAAAAAGGGGGGAAATAGAAAATTATTTGCCAATTATATGAGAAACAAATGGTTAACATACTTAGTATGCACAGTGCACTTTAAAGCAATCTTAAAGCAACCTAAAATATTACAATAAACGACAATTTACTCCCATGGTCAATTACAAAATAAATATACAAATAATATAAAATATTATTTTAAAAATAACCAAACAGGAAAAAAGTCACTGATAATACAAACAAAACATAAAATACCAAAAATAAACTTAACAAATACAAAAGTCATTAATAAAGAAAATTATATAATTTTATCGATGGACTGAAAATAAAGTTGGGATAAAGGCAGTGACATAGCATGCATCTTTATGGAAAGGCTCACTATTCTAAAAGTATCAATTTTCTACAACATATAAGGTTACATATAAATATTAGTTTATAACAAAATCCTAATCACAATCTGTGTAAAATTACTTTTGTACAAATTAAAAAAACAGCATTTTTGTATTTTTTAAAAAGTGTTCTGTAGAACTCGATTTTTGGTTTGTGTTTTCCCAAACAAACTCTTACATCACTTAATACATAAAAAAATTAAAAACCAATTTGGAAAATTTGGCTTCAAGAGGGAGAGGGTTGACATGTTGTGGGGTTGTTAACCAATGTCATAAAACAATATGTGTACTACTGTTTCATGAGAAATTATTTGTTCTGTAAGCCTTCACCTGAAGTACAATTAAAAAAAAAAAGAGGGAATACCAGGGACTGGGCTTATTCTCCCACCTGAAAAAAACTAAAAAACTAGACAAAATATACGTAACAACAGTTTCAAGACACTGAAAAACAGACAGGACAGGGCTTGAGTCCCTGAGACAGGGAACAAAAAGACTAAGATGACTCCTACAATACTTCATTTTATTAGATATAGGCAATTTCTACACAACAGTACAGGAAAAGAGACGTCTAACAGAGCCTGGCAATCTCACTGAGTTGAAGAGAAAGAGAGTGATGGAGGAGAAGATGATTAGAATTTGCAGGACAGAGTATCAGAAAGAAGGAAGAAGCTGCAGAGAAAGAGAGGCAGATACACACAGACACACACACAGTGTGCATACATGCTCTGGAGATCTCCAGAAAGTTCCCCATGAGTCCTTGGATGAGTACAGATATGTGAATACGTGAGAGCAAACCAACCCAAAGCTGGCGAAAGGATCACTAGAAAGCATTTCTATGACCTCACACACGGATGGAATTAAGTCTTGAATCTAAGAGTCAAAGTGGAAAGATCACATAACACATAAGTACTGGGGAGAGTTCTCAGAAATGGATTTCCTTAGTAATGTGATAAATTAACCCTACACTAAAGACAGCACTGGACTAGGTCAAATATAAAAGGTAAGGCTCAAAATGACCAAACGGATTCCAATTAGCTAAACTGCATGTCAGAACAAAGTCCAATACGATACAACAAAAGCTGGAACCCAATAACAAAATTCACAATGTTCAACATCCAATAACAAAACAAAATAACACAAAACACAAACATACAAAGAAACAGGAAAATATAATCCATAACCAAGAGAAAAGTCAATAAACAGAAACAGACTCAGAACTGTCAGAAGTGAGGGCATCAACAGACAGGGACATTAAAGCAGTTAATTTTATAAATATGCTCTATATGCCAGAGAACAAAGAGATAAACATGAACATGATGAAGAGAAGAACAAATGATATAAAAGGCTTACAGAATGTTCTATCATATTACATAACAAGACACATAATGTCTGGTTGTCCCATTTTTCAGTAGCAATAAAACTGATAAGTGACTTAAGACTGTCAATTTGATCTACCCATTATAACATCTCCTTTCAATCTTTCATCTATTAGTTTTAGCATCCATTTTTGATCAGTGCCTAGATACAAACTGCCATTAGGGCTACTGAAATAGCCATTTCACAATTCTATCATTCCTACTGAATTTATTAGCTGGAATACTAATATAATGAAAAAAATCTCCCATAGCAACTATTTGAGTTTATACAAAAAAGGCAGGATAAATGCTTCAACTGCAGATGGCATCATTATTTATAAAGTAAATCCTAATAATTCTACAAAAAAGCTACCAGAAATACATGAATTTAGCAAGATTGCAGGAGACAAGCTCGATATCCCATAATAAATTGTTTTATTGTATATCAGTAACAATCAGAAAAAAATTAAATCCCATTAAAAATAAGATATACAATGCCTAAGAGATAAATCTATTAAAATATATGTATAGACTGCTACACTGAAAACTACAAAACAGTGCTTAGAGAAATCTGAAAAGACCTAAATAAAAAATACACATATTCTATTCATGAATTGGAAGACTCAGTATTGTTAAGATGGTGTTATAGATTGAAATGTGTCCCCAAAAATGTGCGCCAACTTGGCTAGGCCATTATTCCCAGTACTGTGTGACTGTTCACTGTTTTTGTTATCTGATGTGATTATCCTATGTGCTGTAAATCCTGACATCTATAATGTTAATGAGACAGGATTAGAGATAGGTTATTGAGGCAGGACTCAACTACAGGATTAGGTTGTATCTTAAGTCAATCTCTTTTGAGATTTAAAAGAGACAAGTAAACACAGAGGAGAGGGACCTACTGCCCCCAAGAATGAAGAACTGGAAGAGGAGCGTGTCCTTTGGACCTGAGGTCCCTGTGCTGAGAAGCCCCTAGACCCAGGGAAGAATGAGGACAAGGACCTTACGCCCCAGAGACAACAGAGAGAAAGTCTTCCCCTGGAGCTGGCACCCTGAATTCAGAATTTTAGCCTCCTAAACTGTGAGAGAATAAACTTTTGTTTGTTAAAGCCATCCCACTTGTGGTATTTCTGTTACAGCAGCACTAGATAACTAAGATGGCAATTCTTTCTAAATTTTTGTACAGACTCAATGCAATGACAATAAAAATCCTAGAAAGGTACCTTGTACAAACTGACAAATTCTAAAATTTACCCCAAAAATATGAAGAACCTAAATTAGCTAAAACAATTTTGATAATCAAGAACCAAGTTGGAGTACTTATACTATCAGACCAGATTTCAAGACATAAAGCTACATACAGTACTTAAGATGACGTGGCACTGGGAAAGGATCAACTTACAGACCAACGGAACAGGACAGAGATAATAAAAGGAGACCTGTGATAACTGATTTTTGGCAAAGGTGCCAAGGTAAATGTGGAAAAGATAATCATTTCTACAAATGGTGCTGGAACAACCAGATATTCATATGGACAAAAAACTGAACTTTAATCTTAATACTACATACAAAAATTAACTAGAAATGTATTAGAGATATAAGTGAATAAATTAAAACTATAAAAATTCTCCACATATAAGCATTTTTATACATGCCTTATATCAGGGTTAGGAAGTTCTCTTCTGAATGTCTAGTTTGTTCAAAACTTTCATCATAAATGAGTTTCTGATTTTGTCCAATGCTTTTTCTGTGTTTATTGAAATGACTGTGTGGATTCTGTACATTATTTTATTCATACAGTATATTGTATTAATTGATTTATAGATGCTAAACCAACTTTGCATTCCTGGGATAACTCCAACTTGGTTATGGTATGTAATACTTTTAACACATTCCTGGAATTAGTTTGCTATTATTTTCTTAATGATTTCTGCATGCTGTGTTCATGAGGGATAATGGTCTTTAGTTTGCTTTTCTTGTAATGTCTTTGTCTGGCTTTGCTATCAGGCTAATACTGGCCTCACAGAATTAGGCCATATCCCTGTCCTATTCTCCACAATAAGCTGGTATAGGATCTGTAACAATGCTTCCTTAAATATTTGAAATATTTGAAAATTTTCATCAGTAGAGCCATCTGGGCCTACACTTTACTTTGTGGGAATATATTTAACTACTCATTTAATTTTTTTGAGTGTATTCAAAGTTTCTATTTCTTTTTGAGCCAGTTTTGGTAATCTGTGTCTTTGTAACATTTTCCTTAATTTGCTGGTATAAAATTGCTCATAAAATTCTCTTATAATACTTTTATTTTCTGTAGGATAGTAATGCCCACTCTTGCATGCCTTATTTTGGTAAGTATGTTTTCTTTTTTTTTATGGTCATTCTAACTCAAGGTTTAACAATTTTGTTGGTTTTCTCTGTCTTTATTCACAGATGGCAAGATCATTTATGTAGAAAATCCTAAATTATAAAAAGCTATTAGAATAGAAAGTGAACTTAGTAAGGTGGCGGGATACAAGATCAATATATGCAACACCTTTATAGTGAAGACTATAAAACACTGCTGACAACTTAAAGATCTAAATAAATGGAGAGATGTACACGTTCATTGGTAAAAAGTATCAATTGTTTAGATGTCTGTACTC